GGTGAGAAAGACGTAGCGATGCATGTATCTTCCTGCGTACGACGACGTCATCCGGGGAGACTCGAGTCGGGGGAACGCTTAATATTACTGCACGTTATGCAGATTCCGTAGAATCATCCCGTCCCTTTCGTAGGACCCCTCGTCGTCGGTATCGCATGAGCCTTCGACTTCAAAAGAGTCTCGATCTTTTTTATTTCGACGTTATTTGTCGATGCAAGATACATGTATCGGTATTTTTTTTTGTTTTTTAATTTTTTTAAATTGAACTATTGTTCAGGAAATTAACGGTAATACACGCGGGTTATTCGATATTGCGCGATAAATCGATTGGTTTGGTTTGTCGCGTATAAAATTTCATATTATCTTTTCCGCGAATCCGAATGAATTGTATTCGAAATGAGAGTTTTCTCGACTGAAAATCCGGACGGGAAGCGTATATTTCGATCTCCGCGTGGCGAAGCATAATTTCGATTATAATGCGACACGAAACTCGCGGCGAGAAAGTTGGGTGCGTCGATAACACGAAGATATCGCGGCCGCTACACGAAATGAACCGGTCGCAAAACTGAATCGAGACGGGTTGCGACTCAAAGCGAGCCAGGTGAGATGGCTATATTCGATTCGTCCCGCCGAAGTATTACGCGGTTAAACGCGGTCGTAATTTAACGTCGGACTCGCCTTCGTTGCGCCACGCGATTTCATCTCTGTGCATTTCGTTTTAATTATATCGATCTGCATATTTATCTGGCGGATATACGTCGAGTCATGGGACAGGCTCTCTCTCGCGCGATAAATCAGCGACGTCTCCGTTTTTGGTGATAAAAATTAATTTCTGCGAGTACTAGTTCCATAATTTAAACTCTCGTGTCTCTTAAAACGTTTAATACCGTGGAATTTATGCAATACGCGTGTCACAAATTGCTCTCTTTATTAATTATTATTAATAATATTCTTTCTGGAGAGAAGATTGTAAGATACAAACACAGTTACGTAATTTCACATGCGGACAAATTTCGGCTTGTAAATTAAACTCTATACAGAGTCATTTATTATCGTTTGCTCTGCTTGAAAAATTTCGCTTTTTTTTTTTTAATTAAAAAATTATACCGATAATGCGAATTTTCCAACATCGGGTTTATTCGTCTTGTTTAATCGAAACGCACCTGTTGATCCTTTGCGGAACTCGAGTCGGATCTCTCGCGAGCAGGCCATTTTGCGGCGAAGCCGCAAGGTTCGAAGTGCGCATTATCGTTATCGTGGCGCTTACACGTACAATTGTTGAGGGCGTCGCGTCGGTCTCGGTGGTGGCGAGCCACGACTAATCGAGAATGGTATCGAGACGCACGTACTGCGGATAATTTTGTATAAACGACTTTATCGTCACAAGCACTTCCTGGTTTCGTCTGGAGAACCACGCTTCGTAAGAATCCACCTGCGCGTCGTCAGACGAGTCGTTAAACATAAAAATAGAGCGCACGATTTTTAAAAACCGTATTTTTTTTTGTCACGTTGCTCTTCAATTCGCCGACCTAAATTGGTTCTTCAAATGTGTTTTCTTTGGCGTATATATAACAATTTTCTCCAAATCGTTCGATTCTTCGCGTTTTAAAGAGCAATTTCTTTCTTAAACAAAAATAGAATTAATCTCGCCGGGCGAAACGGTGTTCTGAAACGCGAGATTGAAGTTGTCGATGTAAAGGGGAACGCGCGTATCGTAATGGTGTAAATTTGGAATCACACAGGGGTTCACGAACCTTACGCGCGCGCGAGCCTAAATATTTGGAACGGCGGCTCGCGTAAACGTCCGCCGCGCGTTCGACGAAACCCCGCGCACCGACGTATAAGTATAACCCCGCACTTAAATCTATCAAGCACGTGTACATCACCGCGAACAAGAAGAGGCCTTCGTGTACTTACTTATACTTCGTGTACTTACACTTACCACACTGGTCTTTCTCTCGGCGCGGCGATTGCGTCAGGCGGTTTTCTCTCAAACGTAAAAGAGCCATATGGAACTTCGCCGTATTCCTCATGCGTATATGTTTGTGCGGAAAACAAACGAGCTTGTCGAGAGCCTGGATCCATAAGTTTATTGATATTAAATAGCGAGGCAACGCGAAATAAACAGCGCGACAAATCTCAGAAGCGCGACTTCCGCGAAAAGCAGATGAGTCGGGGGAAACTTTTTATACTGCAATAGTAATTTCTACTGAGATAAAGAGAGAAGAAGGAAACCTTGACCACACAACAGTGATCGTGACACTAGTCTAATCAACACAACTTGTCCTTTAATCTCTAACTTTAATTCGTCAACCCCACACGACTTTACCTTTGACATATTGTTCAGCCGAATTGTTTCCACTTACTGTCATATTTGTTTCCGAGAATTCTTCTGCCTGACCCTTTTGCCGCGGCGCGCTTTGAGCGGTTTTAGTTCGGTTGGATTATTTATTTTTTAGCTAAGAGAGAATTTTTCGACGAAAAAAACGCACACCGGCCTACTCGTCATCGATTGACTCGGTCCCGCGTTTCTATTACACGCGCGCCGTGTCAGTTTTGCGTAGTTGCGAACCCCACGTTGCAAATCTCGCAAAACAAATTCGTCGATTTGACGAATAGTGAAGGGATTAACAAAATATTCGCGAAAGTAAACTAAAAAGTAAATGTGTGGCTTTCGCGAAAAAAAAATGTATAAACCGATAGATCCCAGTTCAGATCCGATTCAATGCAGCGGTGTTCGCGCCGATGATCTACATTCACGTCTGATGGATGGAGACGCAAGCAGCAAAATCGGAACGTTTTGGCGAGAGAGGTACGCCTTGTCTCTTCTTGCGTGACGCGACGCACAAACGAGGCATAATTCCCGACGGATCGCCCTCTCGAGCGCGCGTAATCGCAAAATTATGTCACGGCGTAGCTGTGCGCCGCGATTCCTCCGCGGGGCTGTGCTCGATGGTTACGTCATTGTCGCCGATGCTTACGGGGACAGGCGCCGCCTGCGTTACATATTTGGTAGGATATATCGTTTGCTCGAGGTCGGAGCGATCGAACGTTCCGCCAGACATGAAAAAATATGACAAAAAATTAAAAAAAAACAAAGAGTGAGAGAACGAAATACGAGGGGACTTCGTCAATCAGCGAAATATATTTCTTTCTTCTGTTTTTTTTTCCATTTTTTTATATTAAATCGCAAACCGAAACACGCGCGTTCTTCTTCGAAAAAGAGAAGAAGATCAAAATCACGAGGGGACTCGAGAAAAGAAGAAGAAGAACAAGAAGAAGAAGAAGAACTCGAAATTATACGCGCGTGCGCCGAGATTGCCAGAAGAAACCGCGTCGAGAGCGGTTCTACGCACTTAAGTTAATTGCACGAATTACGCTCACGACGCAATATTGATATTACCGGGATAATGCGTGCACGTGGACGGCCTCGTCAAGCAGCGAGACTACGCAGATTTAGACAGTTTTCGACGTTTTTCTCTCTCTTCTTCGCTTATCATTGAAGATAATTGAACTGTTTGTTTCTTCAACACTTGTTGCGACAAATCAAATTTGTTTGCTCTTATATTTGCAACGTGTGTTCGATGTAGGACGGAAATTCAATGATAAGAACGTGTAATTCTCCGAGTGTGAAAATTGGAGGAAAAATTTCAACTCTCTGCTCTTATTCTATCGCGATACGATAACTGCATTCCCGGATCTTCTCCGCCACGATATTTAAGTAGAACGACACCGTCCTTCGCAGCGACGTAATGACGACATTGAGATTATGCGGCAGCGCTTATATCATTGCATAAGTTAACAATAACCTTGAAATACGTCCGAGCTTTCAGATTAAAAAGTCTCGCAAAACATGTTCGTTCGTTAGAAAATTCTTCGTTTATCGTAGAAAAAACTTTTATTGATAGAAAAATTATAATTGACAACACTTTGTATATTTTCAAAATGTTATTTTGTATATTATATCAAAATTAACTTGCCGAAAATAGACGTTCATTAGCGTGTCTTTTTCGCTTGTGTTTTTCATTTCAACTTTTTGTTTTTATCAATTGCGATATTTCTTCAGAAAAATATGTTGCAAATCGTATTCTGAGACAACGATAAGCCATAAGCTACGGAATAAAAGTGAGTAGCACGTGCAGAGAGATAAGCGAGGAAAGGGAGAAAAGGAACGGCGGCGCCGTGCACGGGTCGGGTACACGGGTGTTGCGAAGGTTCCTTGAAACCCTGGTCGGTCCCGAAGTGCGTCGTTGACACAAGCAGAACTTTCATCTACAAGGCAAATGTGTGGAAGCACGATTCCGTTTTCGTCCTCTTCCACGTTATTCAAATAGAACGCGGCCTTCGTAATCCACTGGCGTAGTCGCGGGATTATCGCGTTATTATTAATTCGTGAATTTGGGCGAGATAGCACAGATTGGTGAAGAATTGACAAATATTTGCGACACCGCTCGATGACACCGCGGAAGAGAAAAGCACTGATAATTGTTTATCTCTGTGATACTATTTCTCTCCAACTAGAAATAGACGTAGATTATTTTTCGAACCGTTTTTTGTTATTCAGAAGCAACATTACGTTTTATTACGAAGATATAACAAAGGTAAAAAAACAACAATTTCTTGCGATTATTTCGAATATGTCGGTCAGAAATTTCGATCGCGCCACTGGTGTCAATCAACGTGCTCTTCCTCTCCAGCGGTTCCTGTTCTCAATCCCGATTTTGTTTTTTTTTAACGATATAACAAAGCCATTTTTAATGAATTTTTATCGCAACTCTCGCGACAACGAGATTTGTCGCAGATATATTTTATTTCCATTTGAGACAAACGCAATTTTATCACAAATTCACGTAATTTTCTTTTAGCGTGCACTGAGATTAAAAATATATTCAGAGAGAAAGATTTTTTAAGATTCTTCTTTTGACGCGTTTATACGTTCTTTCAGGCTACGTATAAACTCTCACAAATTACTCTTTAACAAATAATGCAATGTGTTCCAGATCTGCAAAGACTCGTACAAATGCAACTGTACTGGAATAAAAGGACAGCCGGGATATCCTGGAATAGCTGGGCCTCAAGGAACGGAAGGTTCTCCAGGTGATATCGGACCCGACGGACCTCCCGGGCCCAAAGGCGAGAAAGGAGCTGGCGGAGAATATGGAGCTACCGGAGAAAAGGGCTACCGAGTGAGTATATATATATAATGCATCAAACAAAGACTTGATATTTTATTATAGAGAAGCGTGTAAATTAAAATTGCATTTTAAAAACTCAATTAAATAACTCGATATTATATAAACTCTCGGGGGGATTCAAATATGTATTAATTACATATTAATTAATTTTCGAAAATTATTTTTGTACCGCCGTTATATGTTTTCCACCACCGCGGTAACTCTATCCATATTTTCCGCACGTGCTACTCCCGGCTAAACCAATTACAACAGTAATTAGTTTCTTTACATGCGATTCCCTCTGTTTTAATTAAAAGTTCGCGACACGGATTTGCCAGTGCGCGCGATGATTATCGTTAAATTTTAATGGAATAATAATCAATAGATAATTCAGGCGGAAAATCCGATGTATTAGTGAAGTTTCACGTGTAAAAAAAAAAAAAAATTACTATTCAGTATGACATTTTAGAATTTTAATGCTTCAACAACTCTTTTCTCCATTCCCCTTGATTCTTTTCTTATTTAAATTACCGAACTTACTGAAATTCAGTCGATCACAAATGCTAAACAACTTGAAATCTAACTTTTTGAAACGTAACTCGCGAACTGGAACGGCAATATCTGTGACGTGCCTATGAAAATGCGCGAGTCATTAGAATACAATGAAAAAAAAAAAAAAAGTTATCTGCATAATTGGGTCGCCGACATACAGCGAAAAGATTAAAAAACGCTGATGAGAACGACAGACGCATATTCGTCGCGTATTCTCGATTTTTCCCGTTCGAACGCGATTGTTCGCCGCGACATGTGCGCTCTACGAACGAAAGAAGGAAAGAAACGATGAAGAGAAAAAAATCGACGAAAGAAACGCCGTGGCGTCACCGGCCAGAAACAGAACGCTTCCAAATGCGGAGGAAGAGGGAAGAGATCGCGAACGCACACAAGAGGGAATTACAGTCGGACACCCACGATGCCCGCCCGCACTAACCCGGAGAGATGTTACACAAAGTCGCTGCGAATTTGTGGTTTCGCAATTTGTCGGACGACATCGATGTGCGACATCGTGCAATATGACACGCGGCAGCTGGCACTGAAAATGTCACCGCGTTCGGTCGCGGTTATACCAGAATAGTCTAAATTTTTAACTGTACACACATATGTACACACAATTTTTAGAACGATTTCCAGCTTGTTTGCAATAATTTTACATCAATTTTTTGATGACAGACGCGCGCGCGCTATTATTATTTTTATTTTAACATGTGTCAATGAACACAACTTGTCACCGCGATGACAGCTAGTATATACGTCTTACAAAACCATATAATACACATATGAGACATGTCAGAAATAACGCATGAAAATCAAATTCGAAAAATAGAAAGGGGAGGAAAAACAACACGACTAAAGTCACGTGTCTTTGAAAACGTGACTAAAGTAAGGTCACAGGAAAAAGAGTAAAAAAGAGAATATATATATATTATATATAACATTCTATATTTATATGTAATATATAAATATATATCGTAATCACATGAGCAAGATCAGTAACCTTAGCGTAGTCACGTGATTGGTCTGCATACGATCGCGATTTATTATAGAATGTTGAATGTTGAAGCAAGCACAGTCGAGTTTTTACAGTAAATTTTTTTATCTTGAAATTAATGAAAGGAAAGCTCAATTTAAGATTTTAATTAATGAAAAAATTGTAATTTTTGCGCAGAAAGATCCAGATTCTCTGCTTCTGCAAAAATGGAAAAACTGTAATTCCCCCAAAAAATATCTGAAATATATTGTAGCAAAACAGTATACTATATCTTGTTTTTTAGTTCTTTTCTGATGAGTTGTTAAAATTATAAAAAAATCCAAGTTAATACTGGGATATTTTCTCTAATCCTCTGTGTTTTACTTCAGATTTTAGCCGTTTATTTACGTTTCCGCTAATGTTAGCTCTCTTATATTTTTCTGTCTCTTCTCAATCAATCGCTTTTATCCTGTCAATACGGAACTCATCATCCTGGAAATTTTCACACAAAACTTATCATATATATAACTGACAGCATCACGGAATGCGATAACACACTCGAAGTTTTATTTACGATTTTACTATCAATAAAAATTGAAATCTGCAGTAATGATGAGAACAAACATTTCACATATACACAGTTTGTCCGGAAAGTTCCCGGACTACGTGAATTAAAAATCGAAAATGAAAGATATGGTTTATTAAACAAGTTTACACTTCAAGGTA